TATATATATCAAAATTAGTATAAAATAATAATAAAAAAACAATTATTATTAGCATGATGATTGTTATTACTAACTAAAAAATTAAACAAAATAAAAGAAATATTGCTATTGTTATATTTCACTCTATAATAAAAAAGAGCGTTAACATATAATAATAAAGATATCCCTAACAGCTCATGATAAGTGTTTCTCATTACTAGAATGGCATGATTTTGGCATTTGTTTTTCCAAATGCAAAAGCAACTCAAACTCATAGTAGGAGTTCATGTGGAGCAGCATTTAATGTGAACCGACATGCTCTGAGATGCTGAAAACACCAACTCACGAGTTGCTCATGTGTAGGTGAACACAGTGCAGCGTATATTTTTTTTACGTTTTAAAAAATAATTTATATTTATGTAATAACATTTATAATAGTTTTAATAAAATAGCAGATTTGATAGTAAAATTAAGCCAAATCACGATTTAGATTTTATTTCGAATAATCGTGCAGCTCTAGTCAGTCATATGGCTCTTGCATGAAGACACAAATGCACTGAACATAACTAATGATATACAAGCTTTAAAGAGGCAGCTTTAACAGATAAGTCATCTCCCATGACCCTGTAACCTACTCAAACCATCGCTCAGACAGTCCAAACCTCATTATTTCCAGAACTTATCAGCACTAATTAAGTTACCACCACTGTAACCCGTAGCACCAAATCAAGTGGCTGGACCTGTGTGTGTATGTGAGGAGCGTTCTCTAACATAATGAGATTTCCTGTCACTGGACGCTTGCCACCCGTGTCCAGGAAGTGCATGTGTCTCTGCAGAGGCTCATCTTTATTGATGTCATCCACTTGTGTTAGTTGTTTATTGTTACTGTGTTAGCTGGACCTAACATGATAAATGTGTTTATGAAGTATGTTTCTGGCATGTGAAGATCTAATGCCCTTGAGTCCCTCACTTTTTTTATTTCTTTTTTCACTGCGCTCATCACGGTGCATGTTGGGATGATGTATCCATGAAGAATATATAAGCGTCATGTCTAGCGGTGGCTTTTCGTGAGTTTCCAGTATGTTAGTTTAACCTTCAGCTTTCTGAAGGATGAGAGCACACATGTCCTTCCCAAGTCACACACAGGCTGTTTGTGTTTGCTGATGATCTTTGACCTCTAACGGTTGGAATTTAGGAGGCCACAAACTACCTTGTTACTTCCTGTTTTCCAATGCCAGTCTGAAAAATGTGGAACCTTTTACCAATTAAAACTGATGAGCTCCAAGCGTTCACATTTTTAAAAAAGCAAGTGAAGACAAAACTTTTAAGTCAGGATTTTAAGATATTTTTAGGTCTCTTAAGTTATTGAAAATTCTATTATTATTTTAAAAATTTGTTATTACTAATATTTTTTATCTGATCTTAGAAGCACTTTAAGCTCTGTTTTATGCGTGAGCCTACAATAATGTACAATTATTATTTTTTGTTTTCATTTTTATTTTAGTTCAAGTTTTAGTCGTTTCGTTTTTCACAATTTCATTAGTTTTTTCTTTACTTTAACTAAATGAAAATGATAAATGTTGCTTCGGCAACTAGCTGAAATAAAATGCATTTAAATAGTAACCTCTTTAAACATTCTGCTATAGGCTGAGACAAAATATGTATAATAAACTTGTTTGCAGTTGTAGCGAATCAGCTGAAGACCGTACTGCACTGTGTTTGTAGGTCGGTTATGTAGTAACCGTTACGACAACATTAGCTCTCAAACAGTGGAAATGCAGGCTGATTCTGAGAGAAAGAAGAGCAACAGGATATTTCGGTTTCTTTCCTCTAGTCTTCCCTGTTTCTCTTTACCTCCAGCTCCTGTATTTCTATTTGTCTACAGTCAGTTCTTTCCACCCTGCTCAAGATGTCTAGCATCAGTGGCAGTTATTACCCATGAAACCCCCGTCCTCCTCCATCTGTTTGCATATGTACTGAAGTGAATGCATTATGATGTTTTCTTTTTCTAAGCAGGTTTGTTGACATGAGCCATTAAGAGCATATCGATCCTCTCTGACCCCTTAAACCTCTTTTCTAACCCAATGAGCATCGCTTTCCTTCTACTGCTGTGTATGAGCTTACACGTGTGGAAACAGACAGTAACTTTAACTCGTAACATGTAACCTCCACCTCTTTCTGTGCCTTAACTGAAGATGTGGGTTTAGTAAATAATGGCTTTGCTGGTCATGATTACTTGAACTGAAACCCAAACCTCAGTTAAGAATTCAGTGCATGCATAATATGCATTCAGTTTACACAGCCAGCCTTATTTTGTCATGCTGCATGGCTACTTCAAATACTTAATTTTCCATGTTCTTCTGAAATTAAATAATTTACAAGTGCCAGATGTGAATCATGCTCATTTGTTGTTATCTTCTGAATGTTCAAACCTCTTTTCTAACCCAATGAGCATCGCTTTCCTTCTACTGCTGTGTATGAGCTTACACGTGTGGAAACAGACAGTAACTTTAACTCGTAACATGTAACCTCCACCTCTTTCTGTGCCTTAACTGAAGATGTGGGTTTAGTAAATAATGGCTTTGCTGGTCATGATTACTTGAACTGAAACCCAAACCTCAGTTAAGGGACGTGAAGCCAGGGTAGATGAGAGGAAGTGAGTCTCAGGCTTGGTGAACGGTGCACTTCTTGTTTTACAAAGGCCACATCCACACTGTAAGGTTTAGGGAATGACGACGCATTTCTGCAGTTATCATTCCACATATATATGAAATACAGCAATCAGACTTCCCCACACACACACAATGGTTGACATAACCGCTGCAGCGCTTTGGAGTCACGTAGCTGGAAACAAGAAACATGATGCGGGCGGGTTGTGAATTCAGTAGTAGATTGCGTCATCATACCCATAAATAACCAAACACTATGTGTACACTCTTAAAAAGAAAGGTCTTCGCAGCAAGAAGTACCATTTTTGGTTCCCCAAATAACCTTTGAACGAACAGTTCTTTTCGCTCCAAGAACTTTTTGTTTTTTAGAGGCAAGAATGTTTTTAAAATCTAAAGAACTTTTTTTTTTTTTACTATAAAGAACATTTTGTGGAATGGAAAGATTCCATGGATGTTACAATTTCTTCATGGAACCATCAATACTAATAAAGAACCTTTATTTTGAAGAGTGTACAGAATGGATTGCTTTTTATCTGCAGTGTGTGTCAGGCTACGTTTACATGACAACGATGTAGTCAAAAACGGAAAAGATTTTCCCTTGCGTTTTTATTCGTGTAAACGGCCCCTCAGTGTTACTTTAGTATCATTGAAAAAATATAATAGTTTGAAATTAGTTTTTCATTTAAATTTTTTTGTTGAAGCTTTTTAAAGTTATTTTTTTGTGTGTTTTTTTTTATTAAATGAAAATGAGAAATGTTGCTTTTTTATTTTAGTTCAGTTAACATTTATTTCCTTTCAAGTAACACAAAGGTTTTTTTTTAAATGGCTTAAGCTTAAGTTGACTATAATAAGCCTGGTGTGTATGTGGCTGAAGAGAGATTTTGAAATCCTCACACTCTTTCTCTCTCAGCTGGGGTGTGTGTTTGTAGTGAACCCCGGAGCCAAGATCAGTTCTTTCCTTGTGACTCTTTTGATGCCATGTGAGGTCATCTGAAGCAGTCCTAATAAACTACTGCTCAAAACTGCTGCCATCACTAACATCATAACATGATTCATTTAAAAGAATAGCTCACCCAAAAATCTAATTCTGCCATGATTTACTCACCCTCACCAAAACATTTTATTGCCTTTTTCTTACATGAAACACAAAAGAGGATATTTAGTAGAGTGTTCAGGCTGCTCTTTTCCATACAAAGAAAGTAAACCGAGACAAAAGCTGTTGAGCTCAGAAAAAGAAAACAGAAAAAGCACCATGAAGGTAATGTGTGACATGTAGTGCTACACGATAACTATCAAACTAATCATGATCATTTTGTTGGAAAATTATAAGCGCTGTTATTAACTACGATTTTCAGAAATTTCTTTTAACATCTCATCAGAATTATTGCACTTTCACGTGAGCATGAATCAAGAAAATGTAAACTCGTATCGCAGGGTTTTCTGATTGATTATATTCGACAAATACATTAACACGCTCTCTACATTATAAAAACTGGTAAAACCATAAGAAGCTCCTCAAAAGCTAAAAACGTGCAATTCCAAATATTAATTACAATAATTCCCAAATTATGTTCATGTTTTTCTACAATCAGCCGTAGACATTGACGTAAATCATACTCGGCACTATTCATGATAATTAATAGAGGTTAGATTATTTGTTTATTGCTAGATTAATCAACTGATCAAAAAATAATCAATAACTTAATCGACTGAACAAAAAAAAAACGGTTGCAGCTAGGGCTGGGCAAAAAAATTGATTTTCCGATTAATCTTTTTTTAAATGACGTCGATTCGATATCGATTCTCAAAAGCCGCGAATCGATCTTTTCCAGTATTTATTTCAGCACACATTTAAAACAAGATCTGATTAACGTGAATCTTATCATTAGTCTTCTCCGCTAGATGTCACCCTTATTTACCTTGCGCGATGTTACAACAGAAAGCCTGTCATTCATTCAGCGCTTATCATGGCCATACGCGTGATTCGCAATGCTCAGGTGAAATGCTATAGTAATACTATAAACCTGCTGAAGCATTTGATATCACGCATAAGGCGCCATGATTTCCGCAATGAATGAATGGCGGATGGCGCGGCGCACAGTTTTGTTTACACATACTAAAGCGCGGATGACGCTCACGGTGTTTTCAGCTTCTGCCGTCTCACTATATGATGATATGAACACGAATGTCATCTCCAGCTGCTCTGAGAGTCACTTCAATAGCATTTTACCGTTTCATTTGAAAAATCTACCGTGATATCACATACACAGCAGCTGCAAGTTCTTCACGGAAACCCGTCAAAATAAAAGTTTAGTTTAACGTTAAAAAACTGTCAGAATATATTACTATTTAGCAGTCTTAAGAAGACTCAATGCTACTACTGCTAATAAATATTAATAAATCTTTATTTTTAAAGGAATAATCACATCTGTTTTCTTTTCAATTTTAACAGTAAACCTCTGTTGTGCAGCACTTTGTTTGCCAAAAAATAAAAGGGTTTAATTTTCATTTGATTAGGATAAATTAAATTAATGTTTTATGCCTTCATCTGATTACCAGAAAAATTAAGAACATTTTATAGGGCCCTATTATTGTTTAAAAAAGGACCCTATACAAAAAAAAGAATAGGTTTAAAATACAGGCATGTGGTTCTTAATTTCTTTTTATTAATTCACCATTTGTAAACTGATATTTACTGTTCATTTTTTAGAAATATCAATAGCATTTGTATTAAAACTATATTCACTGAATGTAATAAAAAAAATCGAGAATCGAATCGAGAGCTTGCGAATCGAAATCGAATCGAATCGGGACATCTGAATCGATACCCAGCCCTAGTTGCAGCCTTATGAGTTGCATGGTCTACTTTTATGATTTCTCATTTTTGTAGCTCAGCAGCATCCATCTACTTTTATTGAATGGAAAAGAGCAGCGTACACATTTTGTCTAACATCTGTTAAAGCATCGTATGCGTTTGGAGCAACATGAGGAGAGTAAGTGAGCGATTATTCATTATGGGTGAGCTATTCCTTCAAGAGTAGTGAAGTAATCAAACTCACATAGTGGAGTAATAATACTAGAACTGTAACAGAACCAATAACATCGACACACGTATCGGTGAGTCTGACGGCTGATTGGTGAGCTAGAGGTGTGATCTCCCCCTCCTCTCCTCTCCATACTTCACCACTTTGTCATTCCTAACCATCAAACCCCCTCAAACCAGAGTCCGTCCTGACACGCACAGGACATTGTGTCTGAGTTCATTTGTAACCCTCTCCTGCCTTTTCCTCCCACCAACATCCCCTTACCAACCTCCATTCCAGGACAGAAAGTTCTTCAAGGGCTTCTTTGCAAAAGTAAGTTCTGCTGTGTGCATTTACGTACCGTCCAGAAAATGCTCTATGCAAGTACATGAACTCAAGCGCTTCTAGCTACTGAAGCTTGATTTTATGTCTTTGCTTCAGTCCTCGGTTTATAATCATAATGCCAAATCATGAAGCATTCAGTGTAACTGCAAGGGCGCTATACCATGACTATATGTAATGATAACCCATACTGTATACAAAGTGTAGGCACATGTCACAGCAATCCGCAGCTGGTTTAATTTCACATCTAGAGGGCGCTGTTACACTGTGCAACTTGCAGTCATTGTTTATTTAACCAGTTTTCCACACTTTGCCAATTCATCTGTAAAATCAGCATATTGGTCAACCTCTGCTCTTGAGTCCTGAGATCTGGTACCGCCACAGCTATAAAGCATTGAATGTTAAGTGTGCGCAATGGGATTGCACGATTGCGATGCATTGCCCAAGCATTCAGATGTGCATTTGTGTGCTTGCATAGAGTAAGTTTGTGAGTGTGTACACTTCTTCCCCCTACTGATAGATTAGTTTGCTCCTAAAAGAAGAGTGTGTGTGCAAAAGGGCAAATTGAGTTTCAGAACTCATCTTGTCGTCTTTCATGTAACGAAAGCGTGTGAGTGTGTGTGTATGTGAGAAACAGCTAAATTCTGCACTTAGGTAAGTGTGAACACTCAAAGCTCCCCGAATCAGGATGTGTGTTTGTTTGAGTGGTTCACTTCTACCGTTTCTTTCTTTCTCGCGTTATACGACATGCAGCCTTCTCCTAACACTGCTGTAACCTTCTCAAAACTCACTGTTTTTAAACTGTTCTCTATTTTCAGGTGTTGATAGATGAAAGTGCATTTGTGTGAAAGTCAAAGAAGGTGAAGGGCCTCAACGAGGGGAACTTATGGGAAAATCAACTCTCTTTTTGGGCGTCTCTTTTCCCGTCCGTCTCTCACTGTGTGTGTTGTGTGTGTCCACACAGGCGGGTAAGAAGGCCGTGCGAGCGGTGCTCTGGGTGTCTGCGGATGGCCTGAGGGTCGTAGATGACAAGACAAAGGTACTGAAGGACTCTGAACTGGTCCACCAGATAACCACAGTACTGATACATACAGCACAGTAGATCATAATGAAGGGTTCGCTGTTGACCATTTAAAAAACGTGCACTTAAAGTGAATTCAGATGAAAATGTTGTCATTTACTTACATCCGTGACCTTCTTCAGTGGAATGATCGCTGTCTGATTCATAATAACACTATATTCGATGTCAAGATCTTTAGTAAATGGCTTTATCGTGTGTGAATCATACTGACCACGTTCATGATGTTTTTTTAATGCTCTTGCGTCACTGAAAGCTTCAGTCCCATTCATTGTAAATGCATAGAAAAGAGCATCTCTTCCAAGTGTCTTTTTTTGTTCAAAAAAGAGGTTTGGATCAGCATGCGGTGCAGGTGGATGAATCAGTGCTGGTATACTCATGCACAATTGTCATGTTCAGCGTTTTCTGCCACCTGCTGGTGAGAGTCAGTTATTGCTCATCGGTGCATGAAGGCCTGCTGGATTTTGGTCTGGCAGATGGTCCACTTAGCTGCGTATGAATGCTGCTGAATTTTTAAAAATGTGCAAGCTTTTACTGATGCAGATCTTCTCAAATTCGTAATGAAAATAGTTTATAAATCTGTTGTTAACAAGTCTCCGATGTGCAGTTTTCCACCAAAAACATTTGAATGTTATTCACAGCCAATCACAATTTTAGTATCATTTATTTTCTTGCTCTATAAAAATTAGTATTATTATTGTCATTATTATTATCATTAAATACTCTTTTCATATTCTCAGGACAGTAGTATAATTACTTTAGTAATATATTT